AAAAACATGAAGGCAAATGAACATATATATCTGATCTGATTCAGATCAGAAGGATTATCAAGAAGAAGAATAATTTTTAAAAATGTAAAGCTTTTAAAAACAGCTAAGATAATAAGCATTTTTGAAAATGTACTGAATAATAATAAGCATAATGTAAATAATAAGCATTTTTGAAAATGTACTGAATGATTACTTAAAATACATGAAACACAAGAATTGCTACTGATGCCAGTGAACATGTTAATTGATTCTGAAGCTTCAAAAAATTTCAACTATGTACAAAGAAACTAAATCAGTGCCATTTCACAAAAAATGAATTTGGGAGGGGGGCATTCCTGCCCACAATTAATTTAAAAGACTATTTTTTTTTTTAATCAGTGAAAGGACTAGTTCTTGTGAATTCAAACTTCTGACATTCAGTGACTCAACTGAAATGTGCAACAAACATTCTAATTTTTAGAGAAAAATCCAATGAATTTCTTTACTAAAACATTCTAATATTTTGAAGAAAATCTAATCAATAGAGAAATTCATTAAATGAAGTTAAGTTACCTTGTATCTGAATTTAAATGAGTGAAATTTCATTCAGTTTTTATATACAGTACAAGTGTTATGTCTAGATCTCATCAGATGTTAGAAGTGTTATGTCGATCACATAATGATCTAAAATCCGGACCTTAAAGCCACCAACAAAATTTTTTTAGAAACATTTTTTTAATGCTTTATGCATGCACATTTGATTTTTTTCTCCTGTAAGAAATCATGTGGATAATCTCGATTCTTAATTTCACTTTGGTACTGAATAAAATACCTCGTTATTGAAGAAACAATCATTTTAGCATAAATTTGTGTGACTAATAATTTGGCACCATAGCTACATATCTGCTTTTCCAATCAATGGATTTTGTAAAGGAATGTGGAGAAGCGGTAATAAATAAAGATGATATAACAGAAGTTTTTCAGCGATGGCAATGTTCCAATTATCAATCTATTAACGGACGGCGAAATCTGTAGTATGGTTCTAGATCCAGAAAATACTATTACTGATAATGAAGAAAGTGACGAGAGGTTATTGAAATGAAAAACTTTCGACTGACAAGTTAGATGGAATTCTTGATGCAGCAATTACAGGACTTGAACAGTGGAACTTTGTAACTGAACAAGAAATTATGTCTGTCTACAAAAAGTATAAGCACAAAAAATGAAGCAACTTAAGCAATTTACATTCAAAGAAATGTTTAATAAAGTAAACAGATAAATAATAATCTTTTTTTTTTTTTTTGTGTGTGTGTGTGTGTGTAAATTTTGATACCCCTTACATCACAGATGCTTCATTATTTCATAAATCATGATTTCATAGTTTTAATTTTATAACTTCTGCATGCCATCTCACTAGTGACCTAATATTTGAAAAATCCCAAATCCGAAATCGCCGAAGTCCGTGTTTGAATCTCCGACTTTGTACTGTACTTCATTGTGCATAGTCAAATTTAAGAAAGTTCTATCAAAATATACAGCATAATAAACATCCATTTCAACTGTTTCGATATAAAAGACTGTTGTTCATTCTGTGAATTTGCATCTGTATGATGGTATTTACAATTTGGAGGTATCTGATTAGTATGCTGTTTTCATTTTACATTTCAAGATATGATACCTTTAGATACATAAATTGCATAAAATAGAAGAACGTTTTAGAAACAGTTTGACTTCATCAAAATTCCCATTTCATTCTTCATTCCCCATTCATTTGAAATACAAAATAACACACAGAATTAGTGATGTGATTAAATTATTTAACATGTTTGCTGTTTAAAGTAATGGTAATTATACTGTCTAAATAATGATATAAATTATTAAAAAAAGAGATATTAATAATTTAATCTCAACAAACAAGCTGCTGAACTAAAAATAGTTTAGAAAGCAGCACTGTTAAAGTGATGTGAACTGGCTGAATTCCATTACTACATGAAATGATCTGTAATATTACAGTATCATACTCAAAAATATATATTAATCACAAATAAGATTTGATAAGTACAGTTTTGGTATATATCTTTTCGAGGTGAGATTAAACTTTTATAATTCTAGTTCACGATTTTTCAAAATTTAATTACATGAGCTGTTCCTAAATCATTCATGGTTGATCTTTACATTATGGTAACTTGGCATTTTTTTTGGCGAAAATTTGGCGACCAACTCTCCTACAGCAACCCTCTATTTTTTTTTCCCGTCGCCATTTTGTCTTCACGAAGTAAAGACATGTTTCTTTTCTTTTTATCTACTGAACACTTCTTCCAACAATCTACTAGCCGAATTACCACTTATGCTAGAAATTTTATCTAACAAAACTGCTTAATCATGACAAATATTCACTGCAAAATTGGGAAAAAAGTGCACAATACCATACTCCTTACGGGTTTTTTTCAAAATAACACATACACATAAACCATGTACACGCCGACTTATTTTTACTTAAAAAAACATCCCAGAATTGCACAAAAATGGCATTGCGCACACTCTTCACTATATCCATGTACACTGCTTTTTTCTCATAAATTAGAAAAATTTCACGAAAATACATGACAATTTTCTCAATCTTTAAACCCGGTAAAAAGAACATATATGAAATTACCTGATCGTGAAAAAGTATTTACCCTTTCCAAATATGAACATTTCCACATATAAAATAAATAAAATATCCAAAAACTTTTACCTCTAAATCATCTATTACGTTATACACGTCACCAACAAATTCATACCGCAAGCATTACAAATACTTAGTATCAAATATTTAAATTATTTCCATGCATGTTTACTTCAACTTAAACGTGTACCAAATTCCTACAAACATAAAATTCACAAAATAACTATCATTTAATTAAAATATAATTAAATTCAAAAACACTACTTAAAATATAAATGAGCACATACATTAAATTAATACATACATAAATACCCATTTCGAATTCACTTTAGTTACGGCCATGGGATCCAAAAATTCACGAACACTGTTTCACACAACACAGAATAAAGCCAAATACAAAATTTCCAGATTTTTTCCCGTTTTCCCCCCTTTTCTCCGATAAAGAACCGTAATTCGTCCATTAATATCACATGACATATCCCATGATCTCTCGTTTCCCTCACACAAAATAATGCGTAATCGGAACTGAGTACTGCTCACATTATTACCAAAGTGCCGGGTAGTAACCTTTATCGCCTCCAAAATGTCGCCAAACTACCAGTTACCATATTGTAAAGATCAACCTCATTCATTATATATTTACAAACTATACAAATTTTTTTTGTAATACCAATATGAAATTTAAATTTCATACATGTGAATTTTTTTTAATATATATTTAACAAAGAGGCCATTTTTATTTTTTGTAATTTTTAACAATAAACAAAAAACAATTTTTTAAAGTACACATAAATTAATCTAATTATAAAAAAGTATGTGATTATATCAAAAAGTTCAAAGACTAGCTCCGTTGAAAAAAAAACTGCATTACGTAAGTTAGAACACTATCTTTTTCAAATAGTCACCTTACATAACAATACACTGGTTCTAGCATTTCTGAATATGACCAAGAAGTGATTTTGCATAACTAGTATACAAGCTTTTATAATTCACACCCAATCTGGTCACTAATGATGATCTTGGATGCGGAAAATAGATTAGCCACAACATGCTCATGAATTAAGATAAAATAACACGCAAACAAGTATTAATTTAGAATTCAAACAACAAAAATCAGCGTTATATTTGCAAATTTTCACAGGACTAGTTTCGATGGTTTTACCGAACCGGCATCCTCAGCTGCCAAAGCGCAAATGAATGTTTTGACACATTGCAATGTGATGTTCTGTTTGTTCAGGGGTCAGCAATCAGATGCTAAATGTGGCAGCAAGATGTCCTACATTTAATTTCAATGACCGAATTATTTTTACTGATCTTTAGTGGAGTGCCGCTTCCTTTCATCAACCACATGCACAAGTTTCTGAATTTGTTTCACATTTTCAGGGGTGATGCTTATAGAAGATATTCTCGATTGGTCAATTTCAAAAGACATTCCCCTGTCTCTGAATACCTGTGCCACTGAAAACACTATCTCATTAAAGTTAGCTTGCCAATACATATTTCGATGTCTTTTGGCCAGTTTGTCCATTTTTATGCAAAATTTCAAGTTCTCTCATAGTTCTAGCTTTTAATACATGATGTAATTTCAGACTACCATACACAAATACACGCCACCATAACAACTTCTAGTGGTAATACTGAATGCCCCTCACCTAAATTTTACCCCTTTTCTATTTCATAAACCAAACCCACAAAGTATGAAATCAAATATGTTGAAATGCTTTAATTAATAATTTGCTTTATACTGCCTGTTTATTGCTATATATTAACTTGCTTTGATTAACATTCCTAAAAAATGAGTTGGCTCAAAGTTGTCAAAATATCACTTCCTTTCACTATTTTGTGATTTTCATTTCATGTTTGCATTTTGCACTAAAGAAGAGAGATAATGCGAAGAACATAACTTTGGACTCATATGCAAATTAAATAAAAGTTCTAAAACTTTTTTTTTCTTATATTCTTATTAAATGTCTCCCACCTGAAATGAAAATATTCAGTCATTATAATGTTTTAAAAGAACTAGAGCAGCATATTTTTTATTGCTTTATTATATTTCCCATATATACCATAACATTAAGGATTACAATTAATTGTGCCTAGGTTTACAAAATTCTAAATAAAATTACTTCAAAAATATGAACATTCTAGATTGCAGCATCAAGAAATAGTTAGTACAATATTTAAAACAAAACCAGTTTACTGAAAATAATAATATGAAGGAAATGTTTTTATGTCATACAACAGATTTGTATAACAAAACAGTAAAAATATCAGACAGCAGAGAAGGAAACAGCAGCAAACTAAAAGTAATCGAAGAGCAATCTAGACATAGAAAATCTGATTAACTTGTCGTTCATCTGACTGGAATCCATTCATCAAAGATTTCTTTATATTTTCGTTTATTCTGCACGAAATCTTCCGGATGTAATTCTACATAATGTCTTATGACAGCATCTCTTTCCATCCATTTTCTGTCCAAAAACCGATCAACATAATAACCAAACACAGCACCAATTAATCCGAGTGCAATGTGTCGATGAATTCCAGTATAAAAAGGTCGTTTAATGTAATAATTTTGAGCTATTGGGAGTGAAATACCTCCAAGAGCACAACCTACAGGGTAGAAGGCTTTTGAAAGTATACTTTCTTTCGGTGGAGGCATTATAATGCACTACATACAATAAATCACCTTTTCGCTGTTTTGTAAATAAAGGTGACGGTTTTCAGTTAATACGTTGATTTAATACATTATTACTTGCATTTTAAAATTAAAATTTAAATATGTATTTATAAACAGGAGTAATTTAAAGCATAAAATTTACCTAAATAAGAAACGATATAAAACACACTACCTACTGCAATTTTGGTTGATATTTTTATTCTTAGTAAGTAATCAGCTATTTAAACGAATTTTATTAAACATCAAAAGTAATTTAATATGTAAAAAATATGCAAATAGTTCACTGTATAAGAAATGCTACTTATTTCAATTCCAAATATTCATAATTTCCTTCTTAGCTAGTTATCAATTATTTAAACTAATTACATCAAGCTTAAGCCCTAACGCACTAGAAAATAGAAAAACACAATTTATTTATAAAATAGCTATACAGTACTATTTTGTACAATGTAATAATATTTCGGGTTAAAAAAAAAAAAAAAGCGATAAAGCAAGTTTCTATCGAATCTGGCATTCGGTTTAAATCCAATGTTTTCGATTTTGAAATTACAGACACCAAAGTCCTCACCTCCTTTCTTCTTGCTCAAAAGCAGGATTGCTACAGAAATTACAGAAAGCGGATTTGTATAGAAGGAATTTGGTAATTACTTATCTCGGCTGTGAAGAGGAGAATGTTTGTTGCTCGAAGTATTCAAGCTGATCATAAAGATCTCATACATGATGTTGCATATGATTTCTATGGCGAAAGGTTGGCTACATGTTCTAGCGATCAGACAGTTAAGGTAATGTTCAAAATTATTCGAATGGAAATAAATACTATAGGTTTTTAAAGTGCATGTTAATCATATAGCTCTACCGATTGATGTTTTGAATGCTTTTTCCTGACAAATTTGGTATTTTAAAACTGTTCTTTTGATTTTTATTTTACAGTTTAATAAAGTTTAGGTACGAAATCTTCGAAATTTTACACGGCAGTATAAATAAGTTTATAAAATATTAATACCAAAAGTATTATGGGCAAGTTAAATTTTTTAATGATTCACTTGGCAATAAAATTGAACTTAACAAACGTTTGTGTGAAAACTTGACACACCAAAGTAAGCTTAATAATTGCTAAGTTGAACGAAACTTGATTTTTCTGTTATTTGAAAAGGCTGTATATTTGAGGAGACATTTTTTATACAAATTGAGTAAAATTGACAAGCTGAAACCGATTGATTGATTTTAAGTTTTTTTTTTTTTTGGTATGACACTTCTGCAGAGGCAAATGAGTTATTATTTGATTTATATTATTTATATGAATTGAATAACTTGGTTTTAGTAGGAATTTTTTTTGGTGCTTACGTAAGATTCTGTGGTCTGCAAAATCTGTCATGATGCAGTGCAATTTCGTGCCAGTTATGGGTATATTTATGGGATGTAAGAGCGTACTCACAGGCCCGCGCCAAGCCTAATCGGTGCTGTCGTGCAAATGTCTAGCGAGCTAGTGCCTTTATGTAGTGACGATATTAAAGGGACATTTCTTATGGTTAACATTTAAAATAAAGCATTAGTAACATAATAATATGAAAAACCAAAAAAAAAAAAAAAAAAAAAACTTACGTTTTATCTTTTGTCTAAGTTTGCAAACATTTTGTACTTTGTTAAAACCCGCACTCAAATATATTTATTAAAAGAGTATACGTACATTTATGTTATAAAAAGCCATCCAACCGGTATAGTGGTTAGCGTTGCTGACTGCTGTGTCGAAGGGCCCGGGTTCGAATCCCGGAATAGACATGGATGTTTGTGAATGTATAGTGTCTGTGCGGCATGGGGACACTCTACATATGTGAGGCAAAAGTCCTCTTGAAAGGTTGGTGGTAGGGAAAGAGGGGTAAGAGACGCTCAGACCTGTTCCCCCAGCGTGCTTTTTATCAAAAGTGCGGGCGGAACTGAAGCTAAATTGCAGTGTCACCTGTAAGGTATATGACAGTCATATCTTTCACTCCTTGCCACGAAGAATTTTGTGGGCTTGGGCTGACTATGGGTCAGAAAAGTGAGCATTACTCAACAACAACAATATGTCGTAAACAAGTAACACTGCAAGCGAAGCGAAATAATATACTAAACGTATTGGATAAATTGCTATTCACAGTGTAGTTTATGACAAGGTTCAAACTGTTGTTATAACAGGGCACAAAAAAGTGCTCTAGGGCTGATATCTGGAGATATATTCAAAATTATTTTCTGCACATCGCTATGTTGTTGAGTCAGCAAGACAGAGATGTCTTCTTTTGCACCCTTAAGTCTCTGCCTTCAGGGAGAAAAGTCAAATATAACTTAGAAAGGAAAGAACATAGAAAAAGAGCAACTTTTTTTGAGAAAAAAAGTAATTTTATACACTAAATATAAAGGGGAAATATAAAAAATAAAGGTTTGAAATATACAAAGGAAAATGCATAAATTATACAGGAAAAAATTATGGATATGAGGTAGATATAGAAGATGATAAAGTGGAATTTAATGTTATTACAAGGGTAAATCAAAGATAATCATAATTATGTATATCATATTTGTGTATTCTGTTGTTCATTAAAAGTGAACTGTAAGGTAACCTGCAATTTTCTCAGCTAAATTTAAGAAACTTCAGAGTGATAATCTTGACCAAATCCTTTTATTGATTTTTCAAACATAACGTTGGCTGAAAAATGCCGACAGAATACAGCAGATTCAGAAGCGCAACTGAAAGAACCTCTGCCTTGTTGGAACTCCAGTAATTCCCAGCAATCTTGAAGCTCCAAACGCAGTGTTATTCTGCATAGAAAAAGGTAATTCAGGTATTAAACTAAAAATTATTATCTTTCGAGAAGAAAGGATTGACATATTCACGGAGTACCACTGAATTTAAAATATACCTGTTTGAGATTTGAAGTGAAGCAAAAACATACAAAGTATTCTGAAATCAAAAACTGTCCATTTTTCGATTTTTAGCTATGTGGAAAACCGAAAGAAAATGTTTCGTTATTTCATTATGTCTTAAATACATGTTTTAAATTTGATTTATTTGCTATAATAAACAAAAGAGTACTACCACCTCCTTGAATTATGTGGTATTGATCTAATAGTTCATATATCTTCCAAGCAATGGTTTAAGATATACTCACTTTTTCAGAAGTAAGGTAAAATATTTCAAATAGTGACTTTCTGAGTGTTTTTAAGAACAAATGTTTTATGCAAGAGTTCTTATAATAGTTTTTTTCTACTTCTGTTTTTACTTCCACTTTTTCTGTTTTTCACTTTTCCCTAGATGTCGGAAGAAAAACAGAAAAAGCTGTCTGAGTATTAGAATGTAATGAAGAAAAAGAAAGTGAAAGAAAGACTTAATAAACCAGAACTTTAAAATTACTCGGATTTTTCCCAAACCCAAAGAATACCCAAGCTAATGCTACTAGCACTAGTTGTCTATCAATGTCTCAGCTACCATTGAAACTACCAAAAGAACCTAATAATCGGAAAGAAAATGTTTTCACCTGGGAATTATCTTTAACTTCAAGTCAGCCGGTTGAAAAAAATTAGAAGAAATAATGTTGAAATCTACAATTTCTGCAGTAGGTATGCATTTGCCTGTATCTGATGATTCCAGATTATGTTAAAGTCCATTACTGCCATCTCAAGTTCAAGCCTTAATAAAAAAGTGGTCCTGGATAATACCAAAACCTGGTTTCGAGTTTCAGTTTCCCAAAAGACAAAAATGAACGTACATTTTTTTATATGTACTTTTGTCGAATCTTGCCAGACAACGAAAGAGTTAATCCGATTTCTTAGAAAGATTACGAAAGAATAAACCTGTTAATTCGGAATTTCGAAATTTATTAAAAATAGAGACTGAGCATTGGTGCTATGTTATTGAAAGAATTATCTATGCCATTCCAGTTTTTGGCCAAACAAAACTTAGCCTTCCGTGGTTCCAGTAATAAATTATTCGAAAGAAATAACAATTTTTCAAAATGCATAGAAATGACCACAAAATTTGACACTATCATGTCTGTATATATTAATAAAATTCCAACTTAAAAATATATGCTTCATTATCTTGGAGATAAAATTCAAAATAAAACAATTAGCTTATTAGGGGATAATATAAAGCAAATTATTATAAATAAGGTCAAACAGGCAAAGCAGTTTTCTATTTTACTTGATTGTTCTACTGATGCCAGCCATCAAGAGCAGATATCAATTTGTATGAGGTATCTTAATTTATAAAATACAGACATGATTATTGAAGAAAGGTTTTTAGTATTTTGTATTGCAACAGATACGGCAATTGCTCAAACATGACAGGTAAACAGTTTTCGAGTAATTATGTTTAAATCGTTGCTTTTCCAAATCAAAAAGTTAACCTAAGTTTTAACATACTATGTACACTTACCTTTTTTTATGTAGAAAAACAATAACAACAAGCAATCTCAAAAAAGATAAATGTTGTACAAGTTACTACGATTGCAACGGTAGACACAAAATAAGGATTAAGCAGTTTGTCGAATGCGTGTACCCTTGCATACACATCGGCATCAAGTACTTTCATGTTCAAAATAAGACAGAAGAGAACACAAGAGACGAACTCCTGCCCTGGTTATAACTTTTGGTCAAATAAGACTGTGTGCTAGGAGTGTTTCAAAATATTCTAAGATTGCTATTAATGAACATCAATCACTCTTAAAATGTAACTTTTAATTGTACAATATTTGCAGATCATTAATCAAAACATGGTGGTTCACTTATCTAACAAATCTATATGCTTCGAAAATTGAAATCCTTTAAATAGGAACTGAAGTGTTCCTTAAGTGTGCGAAGCATCTAAACATCCATCTATCGAGCTGCCGGTGGAGAGTCTATGGAAATTCAGAAGGCACGTCGCGTTTAACACGCAACGCTAGCTCCATCTGTCAATTAAAATAATTTCCACACATTCCCCACCTGAACTCTGCCAAGAGTTCACATTAATCTAACAACAATCAAATTTATATCAATAAGTATTTTAACATATAATTATAAAACAATTAATAAGTATATTAAATGAATAGAAAATATATTCAAACTAATCATTATACTAAATTCTAAAAAAATGTATGTTAATCATCAAATACAATTTGACACTACTTCAGTAAATCTAAACTATTCTTAATCTAATCATATGAAACTAAATTAGCAAAATAAACAATTGCATAAAACATATTCAATCTTATTCATATTATTAAACAATTTTTTTTTTTTTTTTTTTTAAAGTTCTAAAGGATATAATAATTGAACTAGTCGTTTTATTATTGTTTCATCAGTAGTTGTTAGTTCACAAGAACGAACTTTGTTGTCACGACCATGAAAAATGTTTATCACTCTGCCACAGTTCCACAAAAGTTTGCACTTATGGTTGCCTTCGATTAATAACAAGATCATCAACTTTTACATCATAATAAGCATTAGGATTTTTTAATTGATGTACTGTCCGAAGATCCATCAAATATTGTTTTTTCCATTTAGTCCACAATTGTCTAACCCAGGGCAACGCGGCGCCATGGCGCCCCCGATCGATTTTTAATGTGCCCTCGCTGGACTAATGTAAATGTATGATAGCCAGAGCGATTTACTTATTCTTGTCAAACGGCGATATACAGCAAGTACTGTCTGACCACGTATTCCAGATCTATGTAAACATCCGGTTTGGGGCGGAAGTGGGCACATCTATCAGTTATGTAGGGGTGAGTGCAGTAGCCCGGTAGACACTAAATGTCCCCTGACCTTC